CCTGAATTCACCGCCGCATCCGTCGTCCAATTCCAACAAGTATCCCTCGATGGCGGGTCCCCTTTGACCGGCACACCCAACAATTCCGTGACCAGGTGGTGGTTGCCAGGCGACTGTCACGCTGTTGTTCTCCGCGCTGCACTCTTCCGGTATCAATATCGGCGCTCCGGGGGCTGAGGGAAAGAAACGAGCAGATAGAGAAAAAGTAAGGTAAAGGAGAGAAAGAGAGAGAAAGAGAGAGAAAGAAAGAAAGAAAGAAAGGCGGACGAATCAGATCGTTTCAGATTATTTTTAATCGTCGTTTCACCGTTTTCGAAGGCGCACCTTCCACGTTTGTCATACATCGATCGATAGGGGCGAAAATAAATCGTGAAATAAATCATATCCTCGTATCGAGGGAAATAAGCATCGTATTCTTTTTTTCAACTTTACAATCTTTCTGCGGCGAGCGAACAAAGTCGTTCTCGAAACGTTCAAACTGTTCGCAGGTACGCCTCAGAGACACGTTTCGTCGATAAAAGTTTTCACAAACTTTCGTGCGAATATATATCCAAGAATACGATTTGCGACGAAAGATTTTATTTTTTTAGAAGAAGAAACAAAAAAGACATCTTCTTTGTAAACTAAAACCGTTTCTTCCGTGAAAAAGAGGAAGAAGAAGAAGTAGAAAAAAAAAAGAAATATAGCGATAAATAAGATGGATCCTCTCTTTCGAGAGAGAAAAAAAAATTTCTGCAATTTCTTTCGACGAAGAATTACCTGCAATCGGGTATCGCTCCTCTCCTTCCGATGCTGCGTCCAACATGAGGCAGGCAATCGTTTACATTCCATCAATATTATAAAACGGAATAATTTTTTCGACGACGAGAATCGTCTCTCCTCGCGTTGGTCGACAAACTGGAGATTATCGATCGTCCAATTTAAAAAAAAAAAAAACCCAAGAGAAGGAACGAGATCGTAGCAAGTTTCACGATCTCGTGATGACGCGTGATTGAAAAGTTCAAGACTCTCCGGTTTGTTTTTCTTTCTCTTTTGCGAAGAGGGGAGGGAGATGAAAGAAGATCGAGGGATCTTTATTCTCTCGATAAAGAGAAACGCGGAGTAGGGGATCGAATAATTTCGACGAAGGCGAGAGAAAAAAAAAGGGAGAGAAAGCAAGAGAGCTTACGTTTCAACTGAACAAAGGTAAGTTGATCGATAGCGCGTCGCAACGGTTTGTCATCCAGGGTGAGATCGAGCAACGGCAGCCGAGCAATTTCTTGCACCCCCTCGGCGCCGCCCCAAGAGCCGGCGGCGGTCGCCGCGCGGACCGAGAGCATGCCGCCTATCTGAAGGAAGGCAGCGCTGTCGTTCTCCTTCAGTGCCTCGATGCAGAACGTGAGGAGAGCGGTGGTCGCCTGCAGGTGGGACGCGCATCTGGCCACTTGGTCCCTGAGAGAGCGCACCCTCGCCTCGCGGGTTTGCCGGGCCGCCTCGATCAACCGAGATTTCCTCGCCTGCAACAGGCTCACCAAATTCGCCACCCTGTCCTCCACCTCCTCCTCCAACGCGACGCACTCCTCCTGTCGACAGACGAGGCCATAGATTTATATCATAGGATAATCGAAATCGATCGACGAATTGGAAAGAGAGGAGGAGGAGGAGGAGATGGAGGTGGAGGTGGAGGAGGAGGAGGACGACGAGGAGGAGGTGGTGGAGGAGG